GATTCCATTACTAGCCATTATGCATCTTTACTACATTTAGAACACAGGTAATATCGAGGTATCTGCACAGGAGCCCATATGCCAACAGAGACCGATCAATTCGGTCCAGTCAACGACGGTACAATATAAGCACTTATACTACGTATAAAGAATGAGTTGAAAACATAGGCATGTAGGTTAATATTGCACCCAAAATCACATAAATTATTCTGGTGTTCATCTATGGTAAATGAGTATATAAGAGATAATGTTAAAGATCGCTCACACTTAAATTGTGATACCAACGACGTTTTTCTCAAAAAGAGATAATCTCGAACTCTCAAGAATAAAGTTTTAGAATAACAATGCATTTTTGAAGCGTTAATGAATTGATAGCTCCCAATTATATAATTAATTAAACTGATTTAAGTAATATAGGCGTGCACAACTTTTGACTGCGAACTCGGATTCCAAATGTAGGTTAATTACAGGAAATTTTACTTAGCTACAAGTTTACAAATGTATTTCATCTTCCAGGATTTTCTTATACGTAGCAATTTACGAAGTCGAAAGCCAATGGCTCATGTAGGTTTCAATGTTTTCTCTTACAAATGCTTCTCTTTGATATCAAAGGTTGTGGTTGTTTTGTCACAACATTCGGTGATATCATCAGCACCAACTTAACAAAGATTGGTTTATAAACAACCATCTTATTTCTAAGGAAGATAATAAACAGAAGTATTTTCAGATGATGAAAAATTAAAGAATTACTTAACGTAAGGGACAGAATTCCTTAGTATATTTTATAATAGCTGACATAAAATTGAACTCACATTTCTTTTACCATTTTATTTGTATTCAGAAAAAAACCAACAGAAAAAACCTTTGATTATGCATTTTATTATCCTGTTAGTAAAATATGATTTTATTTCTGCTAGGGATCTTATGAACGCTGAAATTATAGGGTACATTGTATGAATGAAAGAAAGGAAAGCAAATGACGCCTACTGAAAACATTATTCATAGTTAGTAATATGCATACTCGCTAAATGGATTAGAGTAGAGATGCGGCCGGACAAAAACAGAAAAGATTTTGAAAATGAAGTGAAGGGAGCACTATTTCAAGCGAGAGTCCAGATTACCCTACATTCTTGATAAATAAAAGTGTTTCATCTATATCTAAACAATATCAAATTTTTCATGTTGGTATACATCATGAACTGATATCAGTTGGAGGAACTGAAACCCGGCTCTTTAGGTTCCGTGGCCAGCACGTTACCATTGAGGCACTGCTTCTATCAGTTCACGACGTAGCGCGACCGTCACCTAGTGTCATCTGTGAGTATTCTTCCTTACGGCTACCAGGTGAATAGCTTCTAGAGGTGATTCCCAAAGTTCCAACGAGAAGCCATGACCGGTGGGGAAAACCTGGTGGCCATGAGGACAAATACTCAACTATAACATTGGGTGATGGTCGTGTTATGTCATGAACTGACAGAAGTTAGAAATCTGGACCACTGAATTCTGACCCAGTGGCTCAATTGTAACGTGCTGGCCATAGGACCTGAAGGTCCTGGGTTCGATCCCTGGTGATGAGGGGTGACAGGTGTGCACTGCTATGGAGTCCCATGCTTAGACGAAGCAGTTGTCCAGTGCTCGCAGGTTTCCAATGTTCTTTCAAATGATATCAGTTCATGATGAATACCAAAGTGAAAAATCACCAAAGTCCCCACAACCCCTCAACTCAAATATCTAATTTAGTGATTTTAATTATATTAGCAGAAAGTTCTAGACGGTTGTTACTATATCGTGGCTACAATATGATAGGTTTTATGTAAAACCTTTATGATGATATTGACGGGTGTCTGTCATTTTGAAAATGGCAAGTATATTTGTAACCATATTTCATAATTAAAACAAAAAAGTAGACTTAGAAGGCTTATGCATATTTGTGTAGTAGGGAATGGACCAAATTCACTGAGTGAAAGCTTGTGGTTCCACCTTTCCACCGAAACCTTGGATAAGTAGAGGAAGGCTCAAACACATGATCTTCTGGTTAGAAGTCAACTCCCTAAACCAACGTGTCACAGCTCCACAAACAAGGAAATAAAGAAAACCATCCACTTTCATCTCTTTGGTAGCTATATATTTTGCATAACTACTGATAAGCGGCAATTTGTTTATTTTTGACTTACTATTGAAAGGATAATTTTTTTCTACTTTACGATTTATTAGCACTTAAAGTACAAAGTAAGTTGTTTATCACAAGATGAAGGACTTCCTTGTTAATGAAATTATATTCTAGAGTTGACATTTCAATAAATAAAATAAGCAGATGAAGAAAAATGTAGAGGAATCATTGTTTAATTTCCAAAGATTTTCAGTCCCTTAATTCAGATTATTCTCAACTCTATTGTCCAAAGTTTGCAGATTTGTTGTATCACTTTATTTTTGGCAGCAAGACAACGATCAGACGTAGTTTAGAAGAATCTGAAGATAAAGATACTTATCGTAAGTGTTTATATGAATGGATGCAATAGATCAAGGATAAGACTATAGACAGAGTTTTAGAATTATGACTAAATCAAATGCAGAGATAACATTGAGGATCAATTTCGTCTCCAAATGGAATTCATCAGATTATGTTCAATGAGATAACAAAGTGTTTTGAACGCAACATGGCTTAGTCTTCCTAATGACTAAGGTCCCGACAGCTTTTAAGATACGTTTCAAATAACTATAACAGTTTCAAGTAGTCTTCGGTTGAAAAAAATCCACGAAATAAAGAGATACACACTTTTTCTACGAATCCAGTCCTTCTTTCATGATTTCCAAGGCATCAAATCTATGAAATATTGTCCTACCGACATGTATCTTTTCCTCTATTCAGCCAAATTCTATTTCCACACTGCAAATTGAAATGCTTTCAGAACAAAAAGTATGTATCTCATACAATGTATTCAAATGCATATTCGTGAAAAGAAATATCTAGAACTCTTCAATTTTTGCAACAAGTGTTTACTGTGATAAAACGGTCGCGTAACTTCGTTACTCGTTGAAAGTTTTTGTCATCAAAATGTTTCTTGATAATTTTCCTGGTTGTGGCTAGCAAAGGAATCAAGAATTCGCGTTTCGTTTCACTTGAGAATCCTCGCCTGGATGTACCTGCACCCCATGAATGATGTTGTCCCTACTGAGACTGGAACCTCATACTCACTGCTCCTACTAGTTCATATTTCAGAGCTTCAAATACAATAAACCAAGTGTTAGCGGAAATAAACGTTTCAAAGACAAACAAGTAATAGGTATAAACAAATCCAAAATAGAGAAATAAGTAATGTGCACATTTTACAACTCAGCTTGTCATAAGTGGAAAGATGTTTAGGTGTATGAGACAGTCACCGAATCATTTGAAAAGGGTGAAAATAAAGAGTAGAATATGCTTGGAATCAGTTTATTTCAATGCTTATTGAGTGTCATATTGATGTTTTAACTTTATGTCTACAATTTTCATGTTGTTCGCTAACTCAGTGTGATGAGATGACAAAAGTTACGGTGACAACAGACATTATTTTAAATCTTCACTTTTACTTTGTTTACCGATTAAGAAAATCAAGTTTGTAAATAACAAGAATGGTTAGCCTTTTGTCTACAAGTGAAGAAATACCCAGTTTCGGTGTTTGTCGATCTTGGTGAAAGGTGTTCAGTACTCAATGTAGAAAATTGTAGCATAAAGTGTTTACAAATGCCAGTGAGTGAAAACGAGCAACATGCGATACTGACTACTGGGAATATGAAGAGCTTGAAAAACCTATAATAGTGTTTTGCTACCAGAAATTTCATTTGAAAATTGTTCACCAAGAGTTTCTATATTCTGTTAATTATTTCAATATGAAACCGTTTTGTGAAATTTTAAAATATTTTAAACTGCGATTAAACAGACACCGTTTAATTTTTGTGAGTAAACTCCTCTGCCAGAAATCCAGAAACTAGTTTCTTTAGGCTAGTCTTTGAGATTTCCTGTCGTTTCTAATGCATGTTTTAATGTTTTTCGTAACAACTGGGTAATTTCATGAAAACAAAATGGACAAAATTTCCCCGTATCACCTCCAACTACAATTATGAAAACACATTCACTTGTGGCAGTAAGTACATCAAGAGGATGTATATTCGGTTCACTGAACATATTCCCAAGAATCTGTGCTTGGAAGAAAGTAAAACACAGGCCAGTGTAACCCTAGAGAACTCATAGACACAAAATATCAGGTTGAAACCACAAACGCAGAAAATGTCTATAAAATGCTTACATACATGAGGAGAGTATGTTTAGTCTCTCACTCTCCGGGTGTATGTAATTTGATGGTGTTTCATTTTCATTACAAAACTCTTAAGTTATCTATCATTGTTATGATTTTCCCTTTCTTGCATTTCTTACATGTTGGCAATTATTTCCCATACATGTTATATGGCTTATCAATGATTTTCTTGGATAACTCAGGACTAATAATTTCCTAATTTTGAAGTATCTTATGTCTCCTGATAACCATATTAATTTTAGACTATATGCAGCTGAGGAGTAGACACAAAATAAAATGATATCACTTTGTCTTGCTAATTTCGTTCTTCTTGCTTCGTTTAAGTTGACCAAGGGAACTAAACATATTATACTGACTAGTTTCTTATTATAGTCAATATTGGAAGCTTTATGTACTACAGAAGCGGAATTTTGGAACGTACTGGAATGCATTTGAAGAGGACAGATTTTTGTTGAAGGAAATAAAATTCACTCGTTCTATGCATTAAAGGCCGGTTATACTGTTGTACACATAGTAGAAATTTTGCCTTTAATTGACATACTTCTTGAACTCCCAGTTATATAGTAGTGAAAACGAGAAAACGAAGAACTAACTCAGTATATATATATATATATATATATATATATATATATATCATTATATTGTGAGAAAAGCTTATGGTAAATGAAGAAGAAGCGATTTTGAGGAATGTCTAAGACAACTTACGAGTCCCATCAAATCTTGTCGCAATTGTATCCAGAAAAGTATTTTGTGGAGCCAATAATCCTTTCCTTTGTGGCATAATTTATTCAATAATTCCAAACAGTTAACTTGGTAACTTTATATTTTTCCACCGTTGATTTTTAAGATAATGGTTATCAGTTCATCATGATATAGATATTATAATGGTTTAGGCATAATTTCTATTAGTTCTTTATCGCTGTTTTGCATTACTCATTAACAAAGTAGCATTTTTGTTGTATGTCTTGTATGCGTGAAATGCATCGATAGTTCACTATTCAAAACAGGATGTTCTTTACGAATGTTTCCTGCTTGTTTTATTCGAGCTAGAGTCAGAAAATTGCTTCTGGCATGTAAGTCCACCGACTTCCTCTTAAAATTTATTCTACCAAATCATAATTCATTTTTATTTCCGAAGTTAAACTATTTGTGTAACTGTCATTACCCAAGTGAAAATAATGACTACTAGACTTAGATTCAGATTCGGCCAAATGAGAGAAATTTGATTGGTGTAAGTATTACAACCAATGAGAATGAAGCGATGCATTTTTCACTAACTGATCAAAGCAGAATTGTAAAGCGCACTATGACAATATACGCACTAACTAACTATGACTCTCTTAAGGCAGAACAGACTAGCTCCATTGTTACGTACCAGGAGGTCAACGTGAAGAAGCTGTATACGGTGCTTTCAAGTGATATTTGTCTCAGGTTACTGGCTACTGGAAACCGAAGATGCCCTTTGCGTCGTGAGTCATGGGTTGAGCCTAGCTACGTACGACAGTGATCCTCCCCCTAGCTCCGCTGGATACTGACCAATACACCGTCAAACTGACTCAACGAAAACGCAGTCAGCGATATTCATATGCATGAAGGCTATTTGCAGGGATCCTTAAACATCAACGGCCTTGTTAATCGCTGGGATTCCGCTAACAGTGCTAGCAGCTGCACAAGTGAAAGGTAAGGTGAATCCACCTTCCTAATTCAGGTGGTCTTGATAGTTGAAACAATACCCAGTAACCAGTGCTGTGTCACCTTGCGAAGGAGGACGATATTCAGCCCGAAATTCTGCTATGTCGTTAGCCATAGCTTTGGCTATACAGTAAGAACCCGATGGGAGCCTCTACTGTGAATCCGTCGGCATTTTGGGTTCACGAACCAGGATTCCTAGAGGAATATCTTCTCAGGATGATGAAATGCGTTTAGATCTGGAAGTACATGGAAACTTTAGTGACACTCGTACTATGCACATCTGCTTACGGGTGTGGTCCATGAACCGATTACCCAGCAAGTGTAGATGCTCTGAAGTCTGATAGTTGGGCGAGGTCTGGGATAGCGTTGGTCACTTTTAGGAGACGGTGACAGATTGCTGTCGTAGGAGTGTTCGCCCTAATGTGAATGCAATGCTTGGATGTTTCCAGCTAAGCTAAAAAAACCGATCCACCAGGTTTAAGCTGAAACGTGCAAAGACCTGAAAGGCGGACTGTAATTTAGAGCCAAATCAAAAATTGGAATAAAACCTCTGATAAATATAAGCAGAAATGCTCTTTAATTAGAATCCTCCAACTTAGTTTTATTAATTAGATAACAAATGACATTAACTGTCAGATAAAATAAAATTCTTGTCAGCAATCTCTATAACCTTTTGTTCTTATTTCAAGAATAACTATCAACAGTTTCTAAAAGTAGAATATGGTGATATCAACCTCGATCACTCTAATTATTAATTTTTACCAGTTCCAATTTCAGAGAACTGATTTTATTTTCTGTTCGAGTTATCAGTTCACTGTCAAATTTAAAAAATTTGTTATGATGCTGAAAGCGATGCATATAGTTGATACAAACTACTTTAGAATTAAATGAGCCTCATACTATTTCATTACAAAATTTACTTTTACTTCATACGAACGGTTTAATGGAAACATAATTAACAAATTTCTGAGTCATATTTCCCTTGGTCCCTATTGTGTTGGAGTAGCCATTTAAATATTCCCATAGATACATGAAAACTAACCAACAGCAAGTTTGATATCTATGGTACGGTTTGCTGGCGACTAATTTATTTTAAGTTTGTAGAACAAATTTTATTTACAGTCAGCATTCTCATGTAAATAACTTCAACATTTCACCAACATCTTCCAATCCATAGCTGACTAAATCAACAAACAAAACATTTTTGAGGGTCTATTATTATTATTATTATTAGCCTCTTGGGTTCCTAGTGGAACATACGACTTCAGTAACATGTCTCCATTGCACTCTGTTCTCTCCAGTCTTCTGAACCTGGCTCCACCACTGCCCATAACCTTTCATTTCTTCTTCACATGATCTCCTCAGTATCAACCTCGATTCAAACGCCCAACTCGTCGTTTCTCGTTCCGTTTCCATTCGACCACCTGAACTGGTCTGGTCTGGCCTGGACTTGACTGGCCTGACGAATGATGTCCTCAAACCATCTTCTCAGTGTATGTCCAATCCAATCCATCTACACTTTCTTCCTCTGCATATTTGTTGGGCGATGGGTTCTTACTTCATTGGTTCGTTGCCAGTCAGCCAGTCATCCAGACAGGGTTCCTCGTTGCTTATGATTATTATCATTCTAGCCATCTAATCTTCAGTATCGAGTGAGCGTAGGCGGCAGCTGTTGAAGAGGTATGTCTGTAGTTTGTTGGAAATGCTTTTCATAACGCGCCAAGTCTCTCAATCATCACATAAAAGCACTGACTTGACTGAAATTGGTGTTGAAAATCGAGATATTGTTCTTTATGCTGAGTGCAGTGCAGTGTAGATCTTCACACTGATTGCAGGTTAATGAAGGCCTGTCTTGCTATCTTTTGAATCCTGGCTTTGACATCCTTATCAGTACCGCCGCCACCTGTAGTTGAGATGGTGCCGACTAGGTAGGCAGGTGAAAAAGACTACTTCCCTCAGATTCCTCCAGTTATTGGTGATTGGTACTTGTTGTTGTTGGTTCGGTAGTTTCATCACCTCTGTTTTCTCAGCGTTCACCTGAAGGAAGTACCATCTTCGCTGCCTCACTTCTTCTGCCAACTCGTTGGATTTTGCCTGTAGATCTTTGATTTTGTGCGACAACACATCAGACATAAATCATCACCGTTGGCAAAATCGTAATATGCTAGGGTCTTTTCGTCAGTCAAACATTGTTTGCCCCTCTTCTTGCTCCCCACAGTTTCATGCATGATCCAGTAGACCACAATCAGGAAGACCATCGGTGATGGTAGGCTGAAACCTTGTCTTACTCCTATCTTCACTTCAAAAACGTCGGTGAGCTTTTTATTGTGAATCACTCGGCATGCAGCATCATATAGCATATAGCTGTTGGATGAGGTTGATAAGGGTTTGTGGCACTAAAATCGTAGTGTTGAAACAGCTGCCTGCCAAATTACTTGTCGGTCGACGTTGTCGAAGGCCTTTTCAAAGTCGATGGAGCTGAGATTGAGTTGACTGACACTCTATACTCTGTTCTATGATGATGCGTATCGTTGAGTAGTGTCGCAGTTTGATCCGTACATGATAAGTTCTTCTTGAAGCTAGCCAGCCAGCCAGTCAGTCAGCCTGTTTCGGCCATAATTTTGAATCCAGCGCATTTTTATACTCTGTACCATTATGCGGCATAATACTTTTCTTGGGGTGGACAAGGGTGGGGCATGATTCCGCGCCAGTTCTTGCAGTGACCTACATCTTCCATTTTTGAAGGTCTGACAAGGAAACCCTTCTTCCAGTCAATGGGCTGGTAACCTACCTTCCTTCCTTCCAAACCATTTGAAATAGTGATGTGAGCATGTCCGCTGTTGTCGTTGAGCCTTTTTCCAGTGGATCTGGCAGATCTCCATCTAGCCGGGCAGCTTTCTTGGCTTTAGGTGACTTCATGGTGTCCAGGACCTTACTCTTATTTTTGTCGGGAGGTTTGTGTTCACTGATATTTCTGTGGCTGGAATGCTGGTGGTATTTCTGCCTCCAGTCACCAAATCGTTAGACGTGCACAAATCTGCAGACAGTTATCCATTCTCATTCATTTCAGAAGGTGCTTCTCGACCCATGGTTGGTTCTCTTCCTGTGTTGTCTGCTCCCAGTTTCGCATTCACATCACCCCACCCATTGGAATTTTGATATTGCCAACTGGTGTGTTGCCTTGTCCAGTATTGATTGCAGTTGTCTGTAGAATTTCTCTTTCTTCTCTTCATCTGCATTATTTGTAGGTGCGTAGCACATTATTGTATGATTGTGACTTTCCTTCATTTTGAGTTGAATCCATCTTGCCGTCATGATCCTGGGGAAGGAGACTGGTTGCCACTGCATGAGAGTCGTTGATGCTGTTGGGGACACTATGATAACCACTCTGAAACTCAGTGTGCTTGTAATTGTCGTTTGGGTAACAATACCCGAGTAGATAATTGACTCTTCAGTTAAGAGTTTCAAGAGTTAACTTTCATTCTACCTGCTTTCGCAGATTCCAAGCGCTTCTTTACCACACCCCCTCATCTCTTTGGCAATCTGGGCAAACTTCTCGTCGAGCTGCAAACATTGTTCGGACAATTCTTCTCTTCAGTCTTACTTTCGTTTTCATCGAGTGAAGAGGAGACACATCGGCCGACTGGCTTCCCTATGGCTTTCACCAACCGGCGTCATTTCATCTCTCCGATTCCAGCAAGGAATAGGTTTGTTTTTATTTTTTATATTTTTTTGTGCTTTTGAAGTGTGTTTAGCGATTGGATTGTTTTTCCTGTGTAGGGTTGCTAGCCGTATGCCCAACCTTCCCTCTTTACCCAGCCTTACGACCGGCTAGTAAACTGGTGAACTATCAAACTAGTCTAGGTTTTTGAGACTTGTGGAGACTTTTTTATTTATTTTAGGTTGACATTCAACGTGGGTATTAGTTGGAGAATCATTTTAAAGCAGGTAGCACTAAACAACTGTTTTGTCCTGGCCTGGGACTCCTCAGCAGTGTACCCGTTATTTCACCAGGGATCGAACCCAAGGCCTTCAGGCCCCACCTTACTCTACCGTTGAGTCACTGGGTCCAAATCCACTAGGCCATATTTCCTGCTTTTGTCATTTTAAGATATAGCTAAACCTCTATACAGTGAGGTTGTTGGAGAATTGTCATCATGTTTTTGATTTGATTAGCTCCACTGGTCGGGACAATAAGATCTCGTGGGAAGTAAGTTACCATGAAGCCATCTGGTTATGATCTAATGGTCCATATTTTTCCTGTTCGTTGGTTCACAAAATTCTAACGAGATGTAACCTGTGGATTGGATCATTCCAGTCGTGAGGCAAAAACAACTAGTATTAAAATTGTGGAACTTTGATATTTATCATCGTTGATATTTTACTGAAATTTAGTCGTTTTGATTTGCATCCTCAGTGACTTGCTCAGTCAAGAAAACTGGTCAGTTAATCTTTGTTTTTTTATGTATTTCTTAGATAATCATCTCT